TGAGACATGAACCCCTTTAGTCCCGGTTTGAGACACGAACCGGGACAAACGGGCATCGCACCCTTTAGTCCCGATTCGTGTGTCAAACCGGGACTAAAGGTTTAATCTTTAGTCCCGGTTTGAGACACGAAGCCGGAACTAAAGGTCTCATTTGAACCAGAACTAATGCCTTTGGCCGCTCGAACCGGGACTAATGCTCACATTAGTCCCGGTTCACATTGCAACTGGAACTAATGTGTATATTAAGCTGTGACCAAAGCCCTGTTTTCTACTAGTGATAGTAAAACAGTTGAAGAAACTAGATAGAATCTAGTGTTATCTACAAACTTTTTGGATACATAGAAAAACCACAACAAGCGCCACTGTTTACCATGTTTAACCAAGTTTTGTCAAGCTTCAAAAATTGTTATTTATCAAACAAAAGATGTTCAACTATCGTCACCAGGAACCCAAATGTTTAATCGGATTAAAAAAATGGACTTCCTATGCAAAAGCTATGGAGGTTTCAATTTCAGAATCAGATTTTAATGCATGTGTTTGCGGAAGGAGAGAGTAAGATGAATACTGCATTGTACAACCTCAATGATGACGCGCACACTATGATGTTAATTAGGCGTATGTCCGAAAGTAATTAAGGGCTAAGCTTATGTTGCTGCTGAATGCACTCCATGGCTTTTACCTGCTAGGCATGGAGGGTGTCGTGTCAATCTTTCCAAGCAGGACGCACCAGCTTCTCACGACACGATCATGGGACTTCCTAGGCTTCCCTAAGGCAGCAAAGCGAAGCCTGGAGCTCGAGGGAGACGTCATCATCGGCATGCTCGACACCGGCGTGTGGCCGGACTCCCCCTCCTTCTCCGACGAGGGCTTCGGGCCGCCGCCCAGCAGATGGAAGGGCGCCTGCCTTAACTTCACCTGCAACAAGTACGCCGTTTCTTCTTGCATGCCATGCACGCCGGCGTGCTAGCTCCTAGTTGACCGTGTGCCGTCGACGTGTCGCAGCAAGATCATCGGCGCTCGCGCGTACAACCACGGATCGTCCACCGCCACGCTGTCGCCGGTGGACACCCACGGCCACGGCACCCACACGGCGTCGACGGTGGCCGGCCGGGCGGTGGGGAACGTCAGCCTCGGCGGCCTGGCCGCGGGCACGGCCCGGGGCGCCGTGCCGGGCGCCAGGCTCGCCATCTACAAGGTTTGCTCGGACGACGGCTGCAGCGACGCGGACATGCTGGCGGCGTTCGACGACGCCGTGGCCGACGGCGTCGACCTGATCTCCTTCTCCATCGGGGGCGTCCTGCCGGCCCAGTACTTCGAGGACGCGGCCGCGATCGGCTCGTTCCACGCCATGAAGGGCGGGGTGCTCACGTCGGCCGCGGCGGGGAACTCCGGGTTGGAGAACGGGCGTGTCACCAACGTCGCGCCGTGGATTCTGTCCGTCGCCGCCAGCAGCACCGACCGCCGGCTCGTCGACAGGCTGGTGCTCGGAAACGGCAAGACCATCGTGGTAAGTGAGAGGTACAGCAGCTGATCTATCCACTGAAATTCAGAAATCATCTTGCGCGAGGTGGACTTATTACCATATCTTCTTGTGACACAGGGAGCCTCCATAAACAACTTCCCCGAGCTGAAGGATGCTCCATTTGTTCTTCCAATTAATGGGTAATACAGCCTTAGCTACGAGAAAATTGCAGAAAACTACCAGTTTGAAGGCTAGATTTGTGAAAAACACCACGTTACATTTTTGTTACAGAAAACATAAGTAATGGTTTAGGAAAAATCACTGATCTGCGGATCGGATTGTTAAGTTGGTTTATGACAGGTTGGACTCGGTTTTTGCCTACATTGCACTGTCAGCCGTCCCAACAAAAAAATGGGTCCCACCTGTCATGAACCAACTTAACAGAGATTGATCCGCTGATCAGTGGTTTTTCAAAATCATTACTAAAGACATGGCGTTTTCTGCAACAAAAATGTAACATAGTGTTTTTCATGAACTTAACCTTCAAACGACTGGTTTTCGGCAATTTACTCCTTAGCTACAGAAACACTCTTATCATTTGTACAATTATCGGATTTATTTGTAGTTTTGTACTATATTATACTGGTTTAACATTTCGTCCGTGATGCAGTTCTTGTGAAGCAGAATCACTGGCCGTGGCCGGACGGTTATACAAGGGGAAGATCCTGCTCTGCGCCTTTTCTGGCAACGGCAGTGGGCCGGCAACCGTAGGCGCTGCCGGCGCGGTCATCGTCACCGACCGGCCCGACATCGCGTTTTCGCTGCCCCTCCCCGCCGTCATGGTTTCCCAGCACCAGTTCACTAGAATCATGGCCTACTTCAACAGAACACGGTATGTTCGTCAGCCCAGAAGACAGAAATGCATTTTGCAGGGCTGAAATGGTGAGATCTCATGCTGTGTTCTTCAGAAATCCTGTGGGCACCATCCTCGCCAGCGAGTCGGCCTTCGATTCTCAGGCCCCCATCGTGGCCAGTTTCTCTTCTCCAGGCCCAAACATGATCACCCCTTCGATCTTGAAGGTTGTCAGATCATCAGTCGTGCATGCACAGTAAATAAACGGATTAATTACAGTTGAGAAGGATGGCCAGATCTGGGGCTCATGCATTTGTATGGTCGTTGCACTGCAGCCTGACCTGTCCGCGCCGGGGATCGACATCCTGGCGGCGTGGTCACCGCTGTCGCCGGTGTCCGGGAGGAGCGTGGCGTACAGCATCGACTCGGGAACGTCCATGGCGTGCCCGCACGCGACCGGCGCCGCGGCATACGTCAAGTCCTTCCACCCCGACTGGTCGCCGGCGATGATCATGTCGGCTCTCATCACCACAGGTAATCTTGTTCTTAACTAGTTATTTACTTAACCCGCTCTCTCATGGTCTCCATGACTCCATCCGCATCATAATCACTTGTGCGACGGCGGCGTTTGGGTGCAGCGACTCCGATGAACTCGTCACGCAACCGCGGCGGCGGCGAGCTCACCTACGGCGCGGGGCAGCTCAACCCGGTGCGGGCGCGGGACCCGGGCCTCGTGTACGACGCGCGGGAGGGCGACTACGTGCGCATGCTGTGCGCCCAGGGGTACAACTCCACGCAGCTCCGGCTCGTCACCGACTCCGACGGCGCCGAGCCCTGCCGCGGCGGCCGGAGAGGGTCCGCGGCCGACCTCAACTACCCGACCATGGCGGTCCGCGCCGCTCCGGGGAAGAACTTCAGCTCGCACTTCCCGCGCACCGTCACCAACGTCGGCGTGCCCGGGTCGGTGTACGTTGCCAAGGTCGTCAGCTCGCGGCCTGAGCTCGTCCGCGTCGCAGTTTCGCCGAGGAGACTGGTGTTCAGCCAGCTCCGTCAGAGGCTGTCGTTCACCGTGACGGTCTCCGGCGTGTTGGGTGGGGCGGACGAGTTCGTGTCGGCGGCCGTCGTGTGGTCAGACGGGGATCGCCATGTGAGAAGTCCGGTGATTGTCCATACTGTGGATGTTTAATTGGATATTTGGGTCGCAGAGTGAAAGGAATAATTCATTTCTTTGGATAAATTTAGCTTCAGTACAAATACATGTGGGCTTAAGAATAATTCAGATTCAGTTCCTGCACAAGCAATGGACTGGTCTCATATATTTCTCACGGGGTCAATGTAATTGTCATTACACTATCTATGCTCTCGTGTGTTTGGGTGAAAGTGGTAAATCTACCAGTGCCAGTATTTAACGATAAAACATCCACCGTTTGTGCATTTGAGATTTGTGAGGGTATTTTGGATGTGGATCTTCATCGTCGTCTCCCGAAATAAATTAGACTCGTTATCCGTCTACGGACACGTCCACGGATACAAAAACAGGAGAGGGTTATCCAACCATGTATATTAAACCTCTACGAGGCGACATAAATCATTTCCATTTCCATGTTTCAGTGACTTACATGTCTATGTAAACATATGGAAGAGCATCTACTGCCAGACCTAGCTAATCCGTCCTTCTAAACATCCGCGGACACTTCCAGACGCGTTTGTGGATAGTGTCCCGTCACCGTTTAAATACTCACGTCCACAACAAGGTTCCTTTTTAGCTTCAAATCTATACAGTGTCACGCAATGTAAAATAAACCTACGTGATATATTTCAATCACACATATGGCATACAACTACTTCATCATACATACCATCGAATTACATAAAAATGACATTTTCCCACTTCATCATACATGCCGTCGGACTATCAAAAATTGATATGTTCTGAATACTAGAGCTATGGAGTTCACCCACGGCTGCCCTTTGCTCTTGACATCGTCTTTGTCGCGGAAGTAGTGGTCGAAGACGCAAAATAGATCGAGCCGAATCTGCTCACTACCGGAGTTGTTCGATCCATCACCGTCCTCCTCCTTTTCCTCTTTTTTTTGTGTGTGAGGGAAGGGGGGGGGGGTCCAGCCATGGCACACACCTCTTGGTTTTGCTTCTTTGCAAGGGCGCGTGTCATCCTCCTTTGCTGCTTCTCTTCGTCCCCACATGGGACGAGGTTCTAGTTGTTGGAGTCGGACATCTCAGAGTCGGATCCGTTGTCCGCCATGCTGAAGGAGGCCATAGATCGTAAGAGAGGAGCTGGGAGAGGGCAAAGCGGCACAGACTTGAAGTGGAGTGTACTGGCATGTGGCTAGAGTCTAGTCTGGATATAGATAGCATGGGGCTATTTGTAGGGTTAGGGTGGGTCAGTTTGGACTGTATCTGACGTGGTAGACATGTTCGATCGTGTTCGGACCTTCTAATGTCCGCCAGATATAGGCTACATATGAGGGGGTGCCGGTTAGTCTGGACGTATAAGGATCGATATGAGGAGTGTGTGTGGCTAGGTCGCCATTTCCCGAGCAAACACATGGGGGCAATATAAGTGTTTCGGCTGTAGATGCTCTGTTATTTGCTTCCAAAACAACAACATGTACTTCTCCCGTCCCATAACATAAGACATTTTTCGACCCTGTTATGGGGCGGAGGAAGTATTTATTTACTCTCTCCGTTTCTAAATATTTGTTTTTTGAGAGATTTTAAATAAACTACTACATACGAATGTATATAGACATATTTTAGAGTGTAGATTCACTCATTTACTTTGTATGTAGTCACTTGTTGAAATCTCTAAAAAAACAAATACTCTCTTCATCCAAAAATACTATACGTCTAAATACATTCTCTTTATTCATTTTAATGATAAGTATTTCCGGACGAAGGGAGTATTTTGCAACTTTGCGGCACGTAATCTAGTTAAGTGAAGCGTTTGATCTAGCTCGGCATTCTGACAGGGTGTCCCCACACGGTGTTGTAGGGACACTCTGTCAGTAAGCCCAGTCGCGTGTGAGCGGACCAGAAACCCGCGCTCCGCATCCGGCCTCTCTTCCCTTCCTTCCTTCGGGCCGCAATGCGCCCTGAGCTCGAGGTGGAGATCGTCAGCGACGAGGAGATGGCCATCATTGAGGCCGCGCTCGCCGCCGCCGCCGCAGCGCGGCCCCTCCTCTCCGCCGCCACCGTCCGCGGCGCCGCCACGCTCTCCTGCGCGGCCTTCCCGCCCGCCGGCGACATCGAGGACTCCGCGCCGCCGCCGCCGCGGAGGTCGCTGCTGTCCCGGTTCCGGGAGGGCCGTGCCCTCGCCGTCACCGACATCACCGCCACGGTGAGCCTTCCTCGACTCTTCGCCGCAAATGTGCCGTGTCGCCGTTCGTGTCTGATGTGTACCCATTGAGTGACCCCCCTCCCCTCATTCATTTCGTGGGCTTGTTCTTGTGTGTCAGGAGTGGTGCGATAAGCAGATGGAGTTCGTGCTGGAGCACGGCAAGCCGGAGAGGACCGAGGCCATGAAGGCCGGCTCTGACCGCCACGCCCAGCTCGAGCAAGAGGTCAGCTCTGCTGTTTTTTTTTTTCTGTCATTTCAAGAGATGGTTCCTGTCTTGGAAACTACTAGAATGAAACCCAACACGGAATGATAATGCCAGTTTCCATGGGTAGCAGTGCAGTATCTCTATGTGTTTTCAGCATGACATTAGAATACAGTGTTTTTACTGACAAACCACTTCAGTTTAAGAATGCAGGGATTTTATTAACAAATCACTCCAGGTTCTAGAATAAGACTGATTGGATCTTGTCATTGAGCATTGAGTTCTGCTCGACTTGTCCTTAGAATCATTTCCACATCTTTAGGATATTCTTCATGATAGATAACATGACTCGTGGATACTGAATCACCTAATGTGTTTCTTGGCTTCTTACAAAACTTGATATGTGATGGCATAAGTCATCACCACTGCACACTGCTAGTCATATCCTAATTGTATGCGTATCCTAATCAAAGCTTGCATAAAATATTAGTAATATCTCAAGGGGAGGTTGGAGAATGAAATCGATTTAAATCTTCAAAAGACAAAAAAAAGAAATGGACTCATTTATTTCATTTTGGAACAGGTTATTGAGAGAGTCGATATTGCCGTTAGATCTGCAGAAGAATCGTGGGCAGTCAAATTCATGAACTTTATCGTTGGATCAAACCAATTATTGTTCAACGGCATGACACGGGAACTTCCAGTGTATGTGATAATATGCTTTAAACTTGCAGCTCTGTATCAGTGAAAATGCTTGTGTAATATTGGCTTCTGGGAGGAAGTCTGGAATGGATAGAGTGAAGCTTTTTAAGCTGTGAGAGCAATCTTTCTTGTTAATTTTGTTGTAAATTATGTCCCACTGTCCCTGCAGGATTGGGGTTGTTGAAGGTTCATGGATGGTAGGAATTATTGATGAACTCCGAATGCCTGTGGATGGAATTTCCTTTCATCCAATTCTGGTGGATACAAAGACACGTTTCAAAGCAACAATTCCCTCGGAAGCACAAAAAAGAAATGGAAGGTTTTCCCTTTATCATTGCTTTACTAACCATTAAAAATGGGGAGGCTGGCAAATCATCACATGCTGTGGCATTGGCACGTAACAAGCAAGTGAACTTCTGCCTTGCTCTGAAATTGTGTGATGTTGGGTTATGCTCCATTGGTCTGTTGAGAGTGCCTATTGGTTAATCGTAACCCTTTTTAGATAGGAAAAACGTTGATTTTCTGCAAGACAGAACTTCAGAATTTTCGAAGCAAATTTAACTACTACTTCCTCCGTCTAGAAAAGCATGTCCCTCAAATAGATGTATCTAGCACTAACTTGGTGCTAGATACATCCATTTGAGAGACAAGCTTGGGACAAGCTTTTTTGGACGGAGGGAGTACCTAGATATGTGGAGCTACCTAAGGATCAAGTTATGGTATCTCCTTCCTACTCCAGGATTTATCTTTCAGTTATATAGTGGAATGATACTTAAATTTCATCTGAACTCCATCTGAACTAGTTGTATCAAGTTATGGTATCTCCTTCCTACGTCAGGATTTATCTTTCAGTTATATAGTGGAATGATACTTAAATTTCATCTGAACTCCATCTGAACTAGCTGTATTAAGAAAGTGCAGTCATTAGGATAATTTGTCCCACATGCATTCTGTTTAAAAGATGCATCTTATGCTACTAATACAAAACTATTGCTGAAATTGGTGAGCATTAGTGTTTGGAAACATTCCAGATTTATTATGATGTTGAGCTTCGTACAACTTGTTTTATTTCTCATGCACTATGATGATAGCAAGCTAATAGCTGCGAAAGTTGTATGATATATGGTAATATTTGTCACAGGCTTCAGCTGATGTGTTATAAGTACCTGTGGGACAGTTTGATTTCTGAGAAATTCACAGCAGAGAATTTCTTCAGCTATTTTGACTTGAACCCCGACTTCTTGTTATCAGATGATGTCAAGCGGTACATTAGCTCAATTGGTTTCAATGCACAGGTTCTGTGTCTCAACTTTAAACTTTCATTTCTGCTGCTGTTCAAACATTTTGTAGAGATATGAATAACCTTTTTTTGGAAAATAATTTCATCTCATTTTCTTAGTATATACTGCATTCAACAAGTGGTTGCTAGAGTCGCTGTTTGACTGCCACTGTGGGTATTCATGCCAGTGTGTGGAACTTACGTTCTAGTGTCTTCTTGAGTTGTGAAAAGGTTTCTGTATGCAGACTTTCGGGGATGTGATGAAATACTATAAGATTACCTGTCACACGCTGTCACGATCTCAAGAACAGCTAAGCTTGAGGTAAATAAGGTGCAGCCTGAACATTACTGACCTGTAGTGATTACTGAACACCTAGTATCTGAAAAGGGGTTCACTGTTAATACCGCCAGTTTGTTTGAATGTCTCGGCAAATGAAAAACTTATATCCTACTTCCGTTTCCTATATATTGCAGATATGAACTGCAGGAAGATCATTCCCTGCTAGAAGAATACCAGTTTTCTTATGACGCTCAGTGGTTCAAGGGTCAAATCCAAGAAGCCCTTAACTTCTGGCGGGGGGCACGAGAAGCTAAATATGTGACTGAAGAGGAGGGGTGGAAATGTAAATTCTGCAAATTCGTGCCGAGTTGCCCGAAGATGCCTTCCACCTCAAGGTGTTGACGTTCAAGGTTGCAAATGGACGGCTCTCTTTTGGGTCAGTAGAGCTTAGGGAATTTTTTTCTGACATTAGGCTGAGGAACCAACCAATTTGATGAACCATAACACTGGAAGTGGCTTCATCTGTTCTTTTCTTCTTTCCATAGCTAAAATTTAGTCCGAAGTAAAATTTCACCATCTGTAGCATTGTAACGTGGATTTTGCTGATTGGCAAGTGAATATCATTCATGTTGTTTGTATCCCAATGAAGAAATTCACCTCCTGGAGCCTTTTTTATGTAGTGAGTTGCTTGGCACCAACCATCTCAAGTGGTGTGGTGGCTATAGCACTGAATAATTCTCTAACAATATGTGTAATATCTTCGTCTTGGTCAGTCATCATTTGTTAATTTATATCAGGTGTGAACCCTATTATCTTTTTTCATGTATGAGAAATATAAGTCAAAATGTAAAATTTACATGTCTTTTCAAGTTTTATGTTTTCCATCTGCATTCCACTCTCATACCATTAATCGCTAATCATTGTGATGACTTTTAGTATATTTCTGACTGGAATTGAACAAACATTATTTTTCCGAAATCGAATGGCCCTTTTATCCACCTACTCTGGCGCTTGGTCATATATGTATTTTGTTACTATATTTTTACATCAGATGGCCATAATATATTTTGGAAAATATATGTCACTCATCAGGTGAAGTGGCGCAGGCTCATGTAGGGCTGCAAGAAAAGCTCGAGGCTCGTGAGCCGTTCGAGATCGACTCGTCTTTTGGCTCGACTCGAGATCGACTCGAAAAGAAACGAGCCGAGTATGAACATTTTATGTAGCTCGATCGAGAAACGAGCCGATCTTGAGCCAGTACTCGCTCGCTCGATTTTAGCTCGATAGCTCGGCATAAAATCATTATATTAAATGATCATACAATATATTAAATGGAAATAGGATAATTTATTACCATATATGATTTCCAAGATTTTTCTCCATTTTATTTACTAGCAAACATGGAAGTTTAATTAAGTGCAGAGAAAATTCAGGCCTTATTATGGTATGTGATCGGCTGTGTTTTAAAAACCCTGTAACTTTTGGCAAAAAAAATCCCCAGCATACGACCTTCGTTTTACTGTCTTTCTTCCACGAAGAGCACGGTCTGCTGCTAGTTTGTTCAAGAGATCAACATGAGTTCTCTCAGGAACGACGAGATGCCTGTACCATTGATCGAAGTAAGCCTTTTTTTCACATTCACATCATCTGGTTGGTAATAATACTATTTATAAATAAATGAATGACATCAACAACGTCTGCTGTTCCTTATCAAGATCTGATTTATGGTTAGATTGTTCACGTGTAAAATACTCTTGGATAGGGTGCATGTGATTCAGAGTACTGTAGGCCGAAGTGAACGTTTCTTTTACTCGGTGTAGTCACCGCTCTGGCCTCGGCAGATCGCCAGATTCAGAACACAGCCTTGTCCGTCAGTCAGCGCGTCCGCCTCCGGCCCTTCACCCTCGTTCCCCACCATGACCATGCCTCCCCGTCGACCGGCGGCGCGAACTGACCACACCCAGGCGGCACTCCCACGCTGCCACGCCGGCAGCTCGGCACGCCGCGCCCTGGTCCCTGGACGGCTGGAGTCCCTGCTTTTGATTAGGTGTGTGTATGCACTGTTAGCTGCTGGTTGAATCTCTCCATTATGCCTGGATTTTCGAGCAGGTCTACTGGTTGCGATGTGACTGTTCTTCTTCTATTGTTTAGCGTACTGCAGATTTCCTTGTATGTCTAGTAATTTAAATGTTCTTCTCATTTTCTGGTAAGTTAGATGTTCTTTTTGAGGGCTATTTAAATGTTCTTCTCATCTTCTGGTATTTTAGATGTCCACCCAATCGCTTAATTGATACAGTACGTACTAGAAAATGCATCTTAATGTTCGTTCACATATGCTTAATTGATACAATACGTACTAGAAAATGCATCTTCATGAACAACCTTATCACTGATACTATGCACCTTAATGTTCGTTCGCATATGCTTAATACCTCTGAATCTTAGGTCCTTTGTGAGAATGAAGCCAAGGATGCCAAGGAAGTTGTGATGGTTGAGGATGATGAATTGCCAAAATCATCCGGAAAAAGGAAACACTCTGATGTATGGGATCACTTTGAGGAGGTTGAGGTGCTTTCAAAGAAGAAAAAAAGGAGAAACAGAGAGAAAGGTTAAGTGCAAGGCTTGCAGCAAAATGTACATGTACCCGAAGACTGGAACTACTACTACAATGAAGAGGCATCTGGATGGCTGCTTTGCACATCATGGTGAGAAGAACATCAAAAAAGGTCAAGGCACTCTGAATTTTGATGCGGCTAATGCATGTGGTATTGATCTTCCAGTAGTCAATTTCTCTGGTGGCTATGATCATGGAAAAATTCGTGAGCTTATTGCTACAATGATAATTGTCCATGAGTACCCTTTCCGCATGGTCGAGCATTTCTGGTTCAATGTGCTCATGAAGACTTTGAATCCTTCTTATCAGAAGACATCAAGAACCACCATCAAAAATGAGTGTTTGCAGATTTTTAAGTCCCGAAAGGAAACACTGAAGAAGGAACTTAAGCATGTTGGCAAAATTAGCCTCACATGTGATCTCTGGACCTCTAACCAAACTCTCTGTTATATGAGCTTGGTGGCACACTATATTGATTCAGAATGGAATATGCAGTACCGTGTGATTAGTTTTCTTGAACTGGAGCCACCACACACAGGTATTGTGATATCTCAGGCTATATTTGAGTGCCTTTCTGGTTGGAAGATTGAAGACAAAATTGCAACTATAACTCTTGATAATGCTTCTTCCAATGAGTGGCTGCTCGTCAACTGATGTCGAAGTTTAAGGCCAGAGGAAGTGTGTTTTTCCATGGTAAATTTTTTCATGTCAGATGCTCTGCTCATATACTCAACCTTTTAGTATCAGATGGCCTAAAGGCTATAGAACCACTCATTGAGAACATCAGGCAAACTGTTAAGTATTTGAAGAAGTCGCCATCTCGGCTCTACAAATTTACTGAGATTGTCAAGTCACTTAACATGTCAACCAAGATGGGGTTGTGTCTTGATGTTCCAACTAGATGGGGATCCACATACAAGATGCTTGAGCGTGCCTTTTCTTTCAAAAATGCATTTTTACATTATGCAGATTTGGATGCCAATTATAAGTGGGAGCCATCTAGTGAAGAGTGGAGGTTGTATGCTAAAATAAGGGATATTTTAGCAGTGTTGAGCATGGCGACCACTGTGTTTTCTGGATCAACCTATCCTACAGCTAATGAGTTCTTTCTTCTCATTGTGAATGTTAAGAAGGTCCTCGATGATGCATCTGTCTCTACAGATAAATTCTTGCATGATATGGGAAATGCTATGCTTCAGAAATTTGAGAAGTATTGGAAAGAGTGCAGTACTTTGTTGTCAATAGCGTCAATTCTGGATCCGAGGTACAAGATGGATCTAATTAATTTCAGTTTTCCCAAGGTATATGTTGCTAGTGACATTGAACACAACATTGGCTCAGTAAGTTCAACACTGAAGGAGTTGTATGAACTTTATGAGAGTGACCACACAGCCAACTTGGTTGCAGCAGAAAAGAAAGTGGATAATCAGGCCGTCGCTTCAGAAAATGGGACATCAAGCAATAGTCTCATGGCAATTTCAACTCAGTTTCGTACCTTCATGAAGACTACTGCTAAAAAGGTTTCCAAGTCAGATCTAGTTGCATCCTTAGATGAGGCTGCACTTACTGATCATTCAGAAGACTTTGATGTGCTACTTTGGTGGAAGCAAAATTCATCAAGGTATCCAATACTATCCAAGGTTGAGAAGGATATTCTTACTGTGCCAGTCAGTACTGTTTCTTCGGAATCATCATTTAGTACTGGAGGCAGAGTGCTTGATAAGTATAGAAGCTCTTTACTCCCAAATACTGTTGAGGCTTTGGTGTGTTCAGCTAGTTGGATTAGAGGCTCCCAAAAGAAAACGAAAGCTAACAAGGTGAGTTCCTGAATACTCTGTTTATGCCATATATCTTAAATCATCTAACATGTATATACGTACATCTTACGATTTTGTTGTGCACAAATATTCCCAGGATAAAGAAGACGAGGATGACTTACTTGAAGTTCCTTTTCTGGATAAAGATCCTTCGATCGTTTCTACAGACTAGTAAGAAACAAATAGACTATGGTGAACATTCATTTGAATTGTTGCATTGTTTGTATTATCTTGCAAACTAATAGATTCTAATATGCAGGCCAGTTGCGCTTCTTGGTACGGTGATGGAGAGAATTAGTTCAAGTCCTATGACAGCTCCAAGACCATCTCCGGCCTACCCTCTGCAGCAACTTTTTATGATCTTTGGCGAATAATTTGTTTTCCCAATTATATAAGATGTGAATTGTCATCTTATGTTGATGCTAGACTTTTTGTTATGAGAGAATAAGTCAAACTACTTTGATTAAACTACATTATCATCGTCTTGATTGGAATAATATTTTTTTAGTGGTTTCTTATGTCGTGTTGTGCCTTATCTAATTGGAATAATCCCCAGAGATTTTATAGTTTTTACTATTCCGTTTAGCTCGAAACTAACTCGAGATTGACCCAAATCGTTACAAGCTGAGCACGAGTCATGTTTTACAGCTCGACCTTGAGCTTTACTCAGTTTGAGCTCGCTCGAATTTTAATATGAGTTGAGCTGAGCCAACTACAACTCGCTCGAACTCGACTCGTTTGCAGCCCTAGGCTCATGTATGGGTGAGGCCTCAGGAGCATGGCCGAAAATGCTGCAGTTTTTCTTGCCAAGTACTTTCCTCTTCGTGTCCTTTTTTTTGCAAATACTCTCCGGTTCATCTCTTGGCTACAATATTATTGAAACTTCTACATTACGACAAGTAGTTTGACTTTCTTTTGTATAAAAGGCATTTGCCCAGATTTATTCAAAGCTGAAGGTTCAGTGCAAGGTAGCCAAACTTTCAGGGAGGATACCTGGTTACAGTAGTAGCTTAACTGTAACTGCATTTTGGTTTCAGAAGTAAAAAATCAAAACGCGCATGTAAAATAGCTTATATTCCAGCAAAATTAAGCTTGCATCAGTACATACACACTACTTGTTCCCAGTAGCTACTCCATACATCTGATATAAACCATTCTGCCCAGCAAAGGAAGTTGCAGAAAGCAGTCTCAGCTTAAAAGATAATAGGGCTCACACCTGATATTTGATAATAACACAACAGGAAACATTCTGCCCAGCAAAGGAAGTTGCAGGAAGCAGTCTCAGCTTAAACAAAATAACTCAAGGAACAAGAGTACAAGACCTGGACAACTTCATGACCATATCTTGCCCTGATTACTGAAAGTTCATTGTGATAAGCCCACACAAATGCTGGGTAACCAACTTACAACTGACGCTTCACGTGGCACCACAGTCCACAGCTAAGGCTCAAATATCAAACATAGGACAAGACTCAAAATAAAAACCAACACCAAAATATTATTGAACTGAACTTCCATGCTTCACCGGTTTGCCCAATATTCAAACTGCCACATCACCGCATCCTGCTTCACTTGCTGATCTTTGTTTCGGCCACTGCCACAGCACCTGCCACCGCTAGATGAAGCAAACAGTTTTGAAGGACGATCGAGTTACAAGGAGAAGAATTCATTTGTTAAACTTCACGATTTCCCTAACGGAAACCTAACATATGTTGGTGAATCAAACACCTCATATAACATATATACATACCTGTTGGGTTGTTGAAGCTCGTGTAGAGAAAGAGGTTGTCAAATGCATCTCGCGTGCATGTGAACTTATACCGCTTACTCGACAACTTCCTCAACCTCAAGGACTTGAGATCAACTGTGAATGCACCGAGATCCGTGACCACAATGATGATGCCGGTGCCCTCCACACAGCCAACCAACTTTCGTGAAGATAACTTCATCGGTTTACGAATGGGGACAAGTGTCTTGAGGTCCATTTCTCTGAGTAGGGTCCACGACGCTACTCCATCAACACTTACCTCCACTGAGCATATGAAGCACATCATGTCCTGGTCTAGATGGACGAGCCCAAGCCCACTGTCACCCGCCGAGATGAGGAGGGGGTTCGAACTGCTCACACACATCCCTGGCAAATCAATGGCTGTCAGGCGATCCGTACCCAAGTCATACTTGAGAATACAAATGTCTGACGCAGTTGGATCCCGACGAAGGAGGAGGTGGACCGCTTGTCCTACCAGGACACTAGGCCTTCCGACGACATAGGCTCCAAATCTCCCAACGCCACCGATGTGAATAGAGGTAGGTGAGGTCCACTCTCGGGTCTCTGATGAGTATATAGACGCCCACATTTGGCTCGTATAATTGCCTTCCTGGATCTCATCTTCCTCATACTGCATGTCGAGGGTGGTTAAAGCCACAAAAAATGGGCCCAAGTTGCAGGCAGCGTGGTTGCAGCCATCCAACGCACATAGCACCGTGCCCCAATAGCTTGTGCCGTTGATGTCAGGGTCGAACATGTCAAGACCGCGCAACTTCGTTCGGCTTCCCGACACCGGGTCCCAGACGACCATCTTCAAGTTGCCTTCCTCCTCCCCCACATCTAAATCTCCCTCCTCCATATCATCTTCCTCGCCCTCATCTTCCTTCTCCGCCTCGTCCCAGTCACACTCAAGAAGAACGCGGCCATGGCGGCAGTCCATCACAAAACTTTCCCGCCGATCGGGATTCTGGGGACAGAAGTTTGTGGTGGGAACGAAGCGCTCGACGTGGTCTTCCCAGCTTTGTAAGAAGCCTAGGATGGGAGGTGTTTTGTGCAAGGTGAGGTAGCGGTTGCGGAAGGTATTGCCGGAGAGGAGGCGGCACCAAGGCTTGCAGGCGAGGGAGGCGCGGACGAGGACCGCGGGCTCCTCCGGTGGGATGCGGTCATGCGGACGAGGATCTCCTCCACGAGTTCTTCCATCTCCCACAGCTCCCGAACAACCGGCGGCGCCATCATGGTCGCAAAAGTTTATCTGATGGAGAAAGAAACCACAGCGACGGTTAGCAGGATCGATCTAAGCCATTTCTTGCACCATCTTATATACTCTGATGCGATTACAAAATAAATTCTGCCTCGGGCCTTGATGGAATGGAGCACGCGTGCTCAGTTCCCAAACAATTGTCATCAATGCATGCATGCTGAACCGTCACCTAGGAACTCTCCATGGATGGAAAACTGTTCAATTTTTTTTTGGTTTCCCACCGGTTATGTTTCTCGTTCGTACAAGAATTTGTCGAGGAATATGCATGCGATCGTACGGTTTCGCACTGGCTAGCCAGACAGACGCTTGGTCTAGGCAGTAGGCAAAAGAACGGACAACTTCCAGGTCCCGTCTGTTCAGTTAGGGCCTGTTTGGTTCTAAATAAATCATCAACTTATAAGTCAAAAAATGAAAAAAGTGATTTATTTTGCTAAACAGATCCGACTTATAAGTCACCCCAACTTATAAGTCATAAATTGCTCCACCCACTACTAGAAAACATGCTATAGATAATATAAACACTAATGGCGCATTATATATACGGTGCGCCACTACTATATAGTAATGGCGCACCTATACATAGTGCGCCATTAGTATCTAAAATAGTAATAGCGCACCTAGTAAAAAGTGCGCCACTACTATGTTTGACCAAGCTTTGACCCACTTCTGAACATAGTAATGGCGCACTTTTCCCCTGATGCGCCATTGCTATTTTTGATACTAATGGCGCACTTTTCCATGCGGTGCGCCATTGTGGTTTTGTAGGCAAGTGCCGCAGCCCGACCGCCCACCATCTCTCTCCTCTCTCTCTCGCACGGAACCCTATTCTCTTCTCCCTCACCCCACGCACACACGTCTCTCGGCCTCGCCCCGGCCCCGATCCATGCCGCCTCCCAGTGCTCCCTCCTCTACCTGCGCGGCGGCCCTTGCCCTCCTCTCTCTTCGGTCCCCTTCGCGCCTCCTTGCGGCAGTCGCAGCCAAAGAGCCCGAGCTCGGCGGCGACGGATCGGAAGGCAGCGTCGGCGCTGGATCTGGGAGTGGTGGAGCCGCCGCCGTCTCCACTCGTCGGGAACCGGCCAGATCCGCCCCACGAGCTTCACAGGTGCCACCCCCTCCGCCACCAGCCACGGGGACATCCTCGAGGCCGTCGTCATCACCGACCGCGCTACCGAGAGGTCCAAGGGATACGGATTCGTGAGCACGCTTCCTTCCTCCTCCTCTGTTTCTTCTTTCTTGTTGTGTGTTCTTCCGGGGTGGGGATCATGGGGAGGGTTTGATTTTCAAGCTAGAGTTTTGTGATATTTTGGCCAGAGGTTTGTGGGGATCAGGGGTCTGGGGTTCAATTGGGGTGGTTTGTGACCTCCAACGGCGGTGATCGGCTTGCAAGGCTTGTGAATTTGGGAGTTTTGCGGTGCTAATAATAGAGCAAGCTCGCGGAGCTGATTGCTTTGGGACGGTAACAGGGAAATTTTTCATGAGGCCTAGGGCGTCGTCCATGTAAAAATATTTTTTGGCTGCTTGGGAATTTTTAGGCCTCTAAATTGGACTAAAATTTAGGTGTTTCATCACGAATTGCAGAACTATTTGAAGTGAATGCGGAAGAAATTTCGTTTTGGGGAAGGAAAATTGGGGGAATGTGTTTCAACGATGTTAATTTGTCTTAATTTTGTGCGGACATGCGAACAGGTGACCTTCCGCGATCCAGATTCGGCGAGGATGGCCTGCATGGATCCCTATCCAGTAATTGACGGGCGGCATGCCAACTGTAATCTTGCCATCCTGTGGCGACCTGGACCAGCTGTGCCTTTTGGTCAGTCTCTGACCTGGTTTTCTATTGCCCCAATTACAACTTTTTGAACTGCCAAATGTCTGTTGAGTTCTTTCCTGCAGCTTAATATTTTGCCCAGCTGGTTTAATTTAAAGTCAATGCCTGTTTCCAGTGTATTAGAGTTGCCATAATCATCCCATTTTCTATCATTTCAGAGTCTCCGGGATATACAGGTATATGATGTAATACTTTGCTCCCTGTCAATGAGTACGCTCAGAGTTTCTCGAGCATTTTTTGGGATCGTCAATTTGTTTAGCCATGTCATATAGATATTGTTATGGTTGGTTAATATCCAACTGTGGTAGGTAGACGATAGAAATAAAATGCATTACTGATCTAAATGGGGTTCAGTAGTTCATAGTTACACTCATTGAGAGGTAATATAACTTAATATCAGTTTAGTGTGTATGACTGTAACTTGCGGCGGAGGAGCAGAGGCGGCAGCCCACGCGCAGGGCAGCTGCTCCGGCCAGCCCCTTCGACTTCTCCACCATGATGAACTTGCTGAATGTAACCAAGAGCTTATACTGAATTATCTGAATGAAGCGTTTACAGTTTCATACTCTATTTTGTTCTGTTCATTTTCATATGCGAGTTCTTGGAGGACTTACATATACTACAGGTTTGAATCGGTTGTTAATTTGATTGGGTTTCACTGAAGATATTCACGTCCATTTTTAACATATTCGAACTTGCTCAATGTAACCAAGCTCTACTGAAGCATTTTACAGTTTCTGCAAAACTAGAAATACTCTGCTCTGTTCTCTCCATTTTCAAAGTTGAGTTCTTGGGAAGATTTATTTATACAAGCTCGAATTTCCTGTGAATTTGTTTCGATTTCATGGGAATTTGTGTGACAATTAACTTGAATCGTGGATTTTGTTGTGGCGTGGGCGCAGGACCCGAGCATCAAGGAGATGGCGGAGCAGATCGCCAAGGACCCGTCCTTCGGCGAGATGCCCCGTAAATCTAATGTATGATCAATCAAAACACATTTTGTCCAAAGTCCAAACTTAATGGTAAACAAGAGGCTAATCTTGCTATTTTTGTTTGTTATGCGGTTTGCACTTTCTGTTTCCTTGAACAGTTTACAGTTAATCTAATTTACATTTTTTATGTTAACTCTAGCAATTAATTTACCTCAAACAAGGTAATTTTTTATGTTAAGAAATTAGAATGTTTGTGACCGACTGTTTAATAAGATGCTCTTTTCACAAGGTGTGATATTGTGGCATATTTACCCTGGAGCTAGCATATATATGGAGCTGACTTTGTTCCTGGAGGTGAGCATATATTGTTGATCTTCTCATGTCAATTGCAGCAATTCCTTGATTCACAATTTATATAGTGTGGTATAGTGGTTATATTTGGAGGTTTATCCCTGTGAAATAATCACCGCAAGGTGAGTACTTTCTGCAGCTAATGTGTTATGCATAAGCTCAGTGTGTTTGGTCAATTAGCTACTGCTCAATTATAATTGGTGACCTTCCATTGATGATAGGTTTAGAAATTATGCATTGAGTAACTAGGACCTGACCTGGAGTACTTGGTTAATTCAGTGATCTTTTAACAAAATTTTAACTGAATTATTTTGGGCAATGGAGTACTGAATTTTAACTGAGTAACTTGCACTTGCATATGCACTAGACCACTTGTAAATTCTTTGGCTCCTCTTTAATCTGGTGCAATTACTTAACTGACGGTAATAGCCCTGACACTTGTAAGTAACCATATCATTCAAACATCCAATTAAATCTATTCTACTCCATTTCCTGAGATGAAATTGTGATGATGGGAGTGACATTAAATAGCTTGAACATCTAATTGTGCATGTACTCCATTGTTATATACTGATCCATCTTGTCTTTGCCCCTTGTTAACATTCAAATTGTTAATTGCATTCAAAGTGTTAATTGCAGGAGCAGACACAGAGGAGGAATCTGCTACCTCAAAGTAGTTGATCGACGCCGGGAGGGTGGGTATGTGATGTCGGAGGCTGCCGGGAGGGTGGTGACGAGCTACCGAAGAGATGAGTTCTGGCTCTCCTCGATGCCAGGACGAGGCGCTGCTGCCGATCGGACGTGGACTCGATTGATTTTGATTTGAAATATGATGGGTTGTAATGTAAAATGCACTTCAGTTCAAAATTTCCTCCCCTTGCGAGAGGTATTCTTGGACGGAGGGAGTAGAAGATTAGTTATAGGATTTTGTTTTATTTCTGTGCAATTTTCTTTTTATTGGATACTTGTAAAGACATGGTAATATTCTTGCTATAATAAAAATTATGGTTCTATTTCATTTTTTGTTTTTAAATTATTTTTCCTTATAGGTTGTTTTTTGTAAATTTGTATTTTTTTGTTTTTCAAATATACTATTAGTGGCGCATTTCAGCCTTTATTGGTGGCGCACCTAGCTTTTTAGCTTGTGGCGCACCTCTAAGGTTACTAGTGGCGCACTTGGCTTTATTACTAGTGGGGCACCTAAGGGTTAGTAATGGCGCACTATTAGGTGCGCCATTACTGTCTGGGATAGTAATGGCGCACCAAATGTGCGCCATTACTAAAACTTACTAATGGCGTGCTAGTAATGGCGCACTTAATGTGCGCCATTAGTAGCCAAAATAGGTGCGCCATTAATAACCTATTTTCCAGTAGTGACCCCAACTTAAAACTTATAAGTCACCCCCTTTTGCGTGGGTCCCACCACCTGCATGATGTTGATTGGTGTGGAAAGGTGTGTCAGGTGACTTATAAGTCAGGTGACGACCAAACAGGCGTGACTTATAAGTCACTAGTTTTAAGTCACCTGACTTATAAGTCGGGTGACTTATTGAAACCAAACAGGCCCTTAG